ACCTTGGGCATGTCAGGTAACCTCTTTGAGCCTGTGTTTCTTCATCTATAGAACAGGGTAAAATCAAAACCTGTCTTCTGAGGTTGTTTTGAGGATTTAATAAAATAACACATACAAAGCTCTGGCACGTAGAGTATCCTCCCCTATAACCTCTTTCCCTCTTTTTCTGGCTCTCAGCTTCTTGGTACCTTGGGGTGACAGTGAAACCAGAGGCCTAACGAGTCTGGAGCTCATGCTGCCTGCCCTGCTCAGCCAATAGACCGACATAGGAGTTGGGTCATAGAATAAGTATTTATTATCAGAGCACCAGTGGTCTGAGAAGGCAGCGGGTTAACACCTCCAACAACTGCCTTAACATTCTCAGACCAGCTTGGGGTTTTTAAGGGAAAATCTGTGTGTTCCCCCAGAGGCTGTGGAATAATGATGGGATCAGCCTGGTCAGGCAGTTGAGATTGTGATCAATAAGCCTAAGGGTATTAATCATAAGGTTCAGGGTAGTTTTCTAAAACAGGGAACTGGGTGGGACAGGGGACATTCTGAGCTCAAGCTGCAGGGGGATGATCTATTGTTAAGTTATAGGTAGGTCAAGAAAAGGTGAGGCCTGGATGTGGAGAGGCCTCTACTATGGGGGTGCCAACTGAGCCCTGTTTCAACAGCAGCAGCCAGAGCACATGTTCCCCACCCTTTGGTCTCTCTCCCAGGGACCATACTTGCAAGAATCCTGTTTCCAAGAACAGGTTTCAGCAAAGGGTTCTTCGCCCTTGATTGCAAAGTTTTAGGCTGCTGAGGTGGCATGAGAGCCAATCACAAAAAATGGCTAGGCTTGAGACATAGAGGAGGGCATGGGGACCCTCACCAAACTTAGAGTACTGTCCTTCCACCCATGGCTTCTTACCTGCTACTAGAAAAGCCTTGAGTGTCCTGGGATGCTTCAGCCTGGCTTCTTCCGTCAGCTTCTGAATGGCAACCAGGATAACTGTTGAGGGCGTGCTCTGCTGCTAGGGAGCAGACACTCGAGGTATCCTCGTTGGCGGGTTCCAAGACATTTATCTGCTAATCATAAACCCTGTTGTGGTTGCTTGCTCATGGGTTGTGAAGGCGTTCCTCACCCAGGAGCCAGTCAGAAATTGGCACAATGGCCACATGTCCTAATAATAAATCTTAGCTGCCAACCTGGAAACTTCATGGTATATAGCCCTGAGTCCCACCCAGGTCGGGGCTCAGCCTCTGGATGTAAATCCGCTGAGTCTGTGCCAGCATTAATAAAAGTTGCTTCCCAAGCCTTGGTTCCCTCTGTCTATGTCCCCGCAACATAACTGGGGGCCCGCCCGGGAGACAGAGATGGCGATATTTTCGCCTCCCTTCCCCGAGGCCCGGCTCTCCCGGATGAGAAGGGATACACACTGCACTCGGTGCCAGTGGACCCTTGTCCATCAGTGGGGACGTCTCCCCTGCCGGCCACGGGGGACCGACCCGGGAGCACAAAGGAACCTGGAGAGCTACAGGAATCAGCTTCGGAGTGCCGCCCAACCAGACAGGTGAGCACCTGGGTCCCTTGAGGCAGCCTGTCCATCAGCAGACAGAAGGGGGGACTGATCACCTCCCGGAGTCACCCAAGTATCTCAATTTCTGAGGGAAACTGTGACTCCCAGGAACAGAGTGGCGGGCAGAGAATGAATGTGTTTGAGTGTGTCTGAATGAGACGCAGCCTGCCTGCAAGTGAGTGGGGAGCCCTGATCCGCAGGTCTGTGGTGTACCTCATATAGCTTAGGGTGGCATCGCTAAATTGTCTCGTATGGTTTAGCGATCCCAGTCGGGGGTTTGTCCCGACCCACCAATTCCTAAGAGGCACCTGAAATATCCCCGTGAGGGGAGCGGCAGGAGACGGACAAAGTGAATCTCTGAGTGTGTGTCACGCTGATTTTGAGTGGTTGCCATGGGTGGGCGACAGAGTACTCGGACTCCGTTAGGACGTATGTTAAAAAATTTGAAGAAGGGGTTCTCGGGGGATTATGGCATTGAGATGACCCCCAAAAAGCTCCGTACTTTCTGTGAGATTGACTGGTTGTCATTCGGTTGTTGAATGGCCGGCAGAGGGAAGCTTAGACAGAGACCTCATTAAGAAAGTCTACCTCGTTGTTACTGGCAGCCCCGGTCAACCCGATCAGTCCCCTTACATCGACTCATGGAAGGCTATTGCACGTACCCAACCCCCTTGGTTGAAGTCCTGTTTGGGACACCAGAGCGGAATTCTTTCGGTGCAAGCTATAATCCCCTCATGGAAGCCTCCTAAGGATAAAACAGAAGGACAAAAGCCAGTCCTGTCTTCAGACCCGGAGGAAATCCCACCTCCCTATTCGCTAGTCTACCCACCTCTTCTGTGGGCCTCCGAGCCGCTAGCCCAGCCCACAGCATCGCCTTCGCTGGCTCCACCTCCTCCACCCACCACGCCCTTCCCGGAGTTTCAGGCCAGCCTCAGCCTCCAGTCCTGACCCCCTGTGGGCCCACAGATAAGCTGCTGCAGACAAAGGGCCCTGAGACTCGCACTCTCCAGCTCCCCCTATGGGAAACCGGAGGCCCCGTCTACTATGATCAGGAAGGCCAGATTCAGGGAGGCCGACGCATGTTTGTGTACCAGCCCTTCTCAACCACCAACCTCTTAAATTGGAAAAATCATACCCCATCATATACTGAAAAGCTGCAGGCTTTGACTGACCTCCTTCAGTCAATCATTCAAACACATCGGCCCACCTGGGCTGATTGTTGCTAGCTCCTCCTAACTCTCTTCAACACTGAGGAACGCCAGTAAGTCACCCAGGGAGCTATACAATGGCTAGAGGAACATGCCTCACCTGGGACCTTAAACATTCAAGTGTATGCCCAGAACCATTTCCCTGAGGAGGACCCCCAGTGAGACCCCAATGACGACCGGGACTTCCAGATGCTGGAGCAGTATCAAGAAGCCCTTATAGGAGGCCTAAATGATGGTAGCAAAAAAAGCATCAATATGAACAAGATCTCTGAAGTCCTCCAAGGACCAGAGGAGAGCCCAAGCCAATTTTATGAGACTCTGTGAGATGTTCTGTCTCTACACTCTGTTTGACCCCGAGGCTGTCGAGAATCTGCGAATGGTCAATGCTTCTTTCATCGGGCAGCCCCAGGGCGACATCCAGCGGGAACTTCAGAAACTGGACGGATTTGCTGGCATGACTATCAGCCAGCTCCTCAAAGTGGCGACCAAAGTCTATGTCAACCGTGACCAGGAGGCTCGTTGAGAGGCGGATTGGAAGATGAAGAAAAAGGTGGACTTGCTGGCTGTTGCACTTATTGAAAGGGCTGGAACCCTGGGACAAAATGCCATCCCAAACCTGAGACTACCCCAGCGAGGGCGACGTCAAGGGGGGGCCACACTCCGGGAGGCTAAGGCTGGGACACGACCAATGTGCTTACTGCCACCAACGTGGCCACTGGAAAAATGAATGTCCTCAGCTGTTGGGGAGGAAAACAACAGGTNCGGGGAAATCTCTAGGATTGGATAAAAAGTAAAATGGAGAGACACACACTTCTTTTACATTGGTGGGCACAGCATAGCTAATAGCATTTTACAACACATAGAGATAGTACTTGGAGAACAAGATAAGGAGGGATTTTATAGATTCCTGCTCTGCTGTGGTGGGTTGTGCCCCTTGGAAGGTCTGGAAAAAGAGATTACTCTGATATTGCAAAGGTATGTTATCTGAGATGCAAACATACAACAGACAGGCTTAAGGGAAACATTGACCTTTGTCAAGGAAGCTACAGGCCAAGGATGTGACTTCCAGCCATGGTTCACCTTAGTGAGGAATTTTTATGTCCATGCCATCCTCTGTGGTTATTTTCAGTCTCCTGAGCTTGTCAGGTTTAACATGTGGCCCCTTTTCCATACACAGTTTTATCTGAAGATTTATATTTTCTAACCAGTATGTCAATTGCTTTGGCCTGTAGTGAAATTTTCTATTGCGTTTGGCTTTGTCCTTTGGGGTGAGGAAGGTGCCGTGAAGCTGATTATTACAACCTTTGCATATGTTATGTAGATTTAAGTTGGAGCCAGGAATGGGTCCTGTACAGATAGATGCAAAGTCTTTCCCAATTCACAGGGCCAGCAAGAAACATTGAAACTAGTAAGTACAGTAAATGTACACCAAGCAGAGCCAAACAAGATAGGAAAATTATAGGCAATAAAAAAAAATGGCCACGGTAGAGGGAATCAGGGTGAAGTCCATATCCAAAGCCAGAAGAAATAATTTTAATAGCTGACTGATAGGTTTAAGTCACAGGACCCCACCAGAATGACAAACTTGGGAGGAGAAGGAGATGTGTTTTTTTTTAAAGCCTATAACAAAAAAGTCAAAACTTAAGTTTCACCTCCAGAGAGGAGGATTAAGACAGGTTAATTAACAATGTAAGACAGTCAGGAACTCCCTGATAGAATGAGCAGCAGACACTGATATCTTCAAAGCCCCAGCCTTGAGATAACATGTTCCTCTCACAGCAGAAACATTGATTAAGCTGATTAAGCTCTAAGGAAATTAGACAGTTTCCAGAAAACACCTCCTCAGGGCTAAGTTCCTCCCCAGGTATACAAAAAAATTGGATAAAGGGAGTAGTTCCTCACCTAATGCAGGCACCCAAGTCGGGACTCCTTCTCGTTTTGACAGCTGCTACTTTCTGCCCTAATAAACTATCCTCTGATGTAAACTTTATCTCTCTGGTCCATGTCTCCATTCTTTGGCTTCACAAGACTAGGATCCAGGCACAAGAAATATCCTACATCACAAAGACAGCTTTCAAAGAGCACCAAGCCAAATTACTTGGAATTGTTAAATCGAATTATACCAGAGATCCAAATCTCAAAATAGAAGATTTAGTGCCACTGAGACAGGTTAGCCAGCATGTTGTTAGGTAGACTGGGAAGTCCATGGTAGAATAAAACAAAGGCAGCCATATCTTGGAAATCCAGGTTCTGAAATTATTCATTTGCTCCAGGGCAAAAATGTAATTGTGCTCTGGGGATAAAAGTGTTACTTCCTAAATCCCTTTAGGCTGGCAACAGAACTATTCTGATTGACAAAATCCATTAGAAGGTGCCAATTCCCTTCCCCAAGCATGCAAGAGAAAGTACAAAAGAG